AGTTCATGCATGTTCGAGATACAGGTGATCACGGACGCACGCACGCACACAGGGCAAAACACAAGTCCCCGTTTTCGGACTACGTCCGAACGGGGACTAAAAATTCTGTTTTCATACTTTGTCTAAACAGGGACTTAAATATGCTACACAAATAACAGTAGGCATAACAGTAGGCATCAAGCTTCAAATAATTTGAGAAAACATTCAAAGCCACACAAGGAACATTAAAATACAGCTACACAGATGTGAGCCATGAACTAATTATGTTTGTTCTACACTTGTGTATTAGTATTATTTACTTAGTGCACACACAACTGAGTGTTCAAAGCACACAAGAGCTAAGAAAGTACCTTTCAGGTCGGAGACCCATGGAATAATTGTGGGTATAATTTCAGCACAAACCAATAATTACTTTATTAGAAGCACATGTACTTACGTAAATGACATTGTTGTTTCTATGGTCATAATAAGTCATAGTTTAATGATAGAGCATACAATACATGCACTATTTGGCTTATTTGTGCTTCTCTTACATATGTGCTTTTCATAGAACGAATAATGTAGTTGAAAAAATATATCTGCATCTCCAATATTTAACAGTGGCAAAAACACATGTTTAATAGTATCCAAAACAATTGTTCGTGAATATTAAAATATTCACATTCAGTGTTCAGTTTTGCACTTGAGTCCAATGATTCACTGGTGTTCAATGCATAAATATACATGAATGTATATTTGTTAAATCAAGTGTTTTATAAATATACACCAACTCTCCAGGCTTTGCATCTTCTCAATACATCCATTTCAACAACACCACATTGCTGCATCAAGTCACTTCTGGTTATCGCATTGGTAGGTTAATCTCACAGAGTAATAGCTACAAAATGAACTGGGTCTACAAGTTCTTTCAAAGACTGACCTGAAAGACAAAATTGTTTAGCTCAGTACAGTTTGTAAACATGTTCATGGCTACTCAGTTGTTGTTCCATGAAATGTCATAATGATATTTAATTATTAGTATCTTAGAATAATATGTGACTATTCAATTCACTGTCAAGCGTGTGACCTCCAAAATCCAAGGTCAACACATTTTATGTTAGAAAACAGGCAGGCAAAATAATCTGTCATAAAGTTTGCTACTTAAATCAATAACCATTAATCTAAAATATGCATGACATTTATGATGTTTTAATAGTTGTATGCATGTTTTCTTTGTTCATAATGTAATGCACAAAAACAAGTACAAATGTTACAACGTAGGACTGTCTGTGTAAATAGGTGTAAAACAAAGGTTTATGGTCATACATGTAAACACGTAGTTTGTTAAGTTGTATTTCTCAACAGTTTAACTGTCAGGCAGTAATCATGGGGTGTTATACATTATGAATTCAATACCAACTTACGTTTCCAGACAGCTTCATTTGTCAGGACATGAACGCTTCTAACAAATGCCTGGGGTATAGACAAATCACGCTGTAATTTCTGACATAGATATTTACCAGGGTTCCATAGGTTACTGAAAATAAGACTAGACAATTCAGTACTCTGCTGAAAACTTTGCTTAATAAGCATGCTAACCATCATACAGTGAAGGGTCCATTGCATGCACATTTATTCACTCTATGCTAATGCAAGCAGCCAATAGACCATTTTCTGTTCTCTGCGAGATCCCGCGTTATGCATGAAATCAAACGTAGTAAAATCAGGAGAAACGAAGGTCATAGCATGGTAGTGGCGTCAAACATCGCGTGAAATTCAACAAACGCGAACGTATTCTGGGTGTATTTCCACACTTAATAATGAGCTGTACACCTTTGATGATGGTCAAATTCGATCAAGGCTATCTAAATGCAATGTTTTCATGTCAAAGATCGGCCTTTAGAAATTCAAGTCCAAAATCAAATCGTTTGATTTTTGCGACAGAAGTTCGGTCTGTGACTTTATGCAATACGCAAGATCTCGCAGTTGAATGGAAAATCACCTATTAACTTTGCCAGAATTGTTTACATGCAAAGAAAAAACAAGTTAAAGTGTTTTACACTTTCCTGATAATGTGTTCTTGTTTTGTTTGTTTCACCGGAATGCCGGCCAAGATTGGAGGGAGTGACACAATTTAAAAGTGTCCAGTTTAGGATTGGTTGAATTTACTCAAATTATACCAAATGATTCACATACGTAAGCAATACAAAATCAGTCAAAGAATATCAACATTTTGTATCAAAACAACAAATGCACATGCATCCATGGGCAAATTAAATAACAAGTTTTAATGAAGGTGGCCCAGGTATGCCCGAGATAGGGTTGTTGAAATGTCACTCTACTCACCATAACTGAGCTTGGTCAAACTCCTTCAAGTCTTCTATCTCAAGCGTCTCATACAGACCTAATTTACAGTAAAATATTACAACAAATTATAGGCATATCTAGTACATATATTCATAAAACAAAACATCTGTGCCCATGCGGATGTTGACTATGAAAAAAAAATTCAAGTAGAAACTGCCCAGAGAAATAGAATAAATTCAAATTTAAATCTAAAAATACACAAAATAATGCTAGGAAACTAAACAGAAAATAAATAACCATGGATTCAAAATACTGTAAAACATGTTGAAAAAGCGACATGCAATTTTAGCGAATTGTGGTAAAATGACGTAATAACGAAATGTTGATTTAGGGAATCTCTCTTGTCATTGTTGATTTCCTGTTTTCACAATACTTGTCTGCCGCATGCCAAAAGAGTTATCACCTCAATAAAAACAAAGAAAAACTGTCAAGTGTAATTAGGAAGCGTCCCAGATTTTTATGTTCCGGATAACTGTATACAAATCCCCAAGCCTTGGCCATTTTGAATTTATAATAAAGTCATAAGCGACAGCTTGAATTAGTAAATCAGTTCTCTCGCTAAATTTGCTAAAAAGACATGTTTTACAGTAGTTCTAACATAGTACGGTAAGTGTTACAAAATCAAAAGTTTTGCACTAATAACTGAGCCAGTCATTAAATCTAAGATAAGATTAGGAGATGAATTCCCACTATCATAAACCACCTGCTTTATTAAATACTGATAAATCCATGTAGCTAGCATTTGTAAAGCATTCACATACCTGTTTTCAAATTCCATGAAAACTTGAATCCTGTCTGAAACAACCTTGGAGTAACACTATAATTAGGAGAGACAGGTAGTAGTAAGTATTCTGGAAGCAAGTACAACAACCTAATCTTGATACTCTTATTTTTCTAGTCCTCAGAGTCTACCGAATCCCTTCACCAAAGGTTGCTATGCGCATGCAATAAAGAGGGGGCTGGGGAAGTTTTTAACAAGTTGATCAAACATACTTTGTCCTTCTTCAAATGTCTCACAAACATATATAGGGATACAAAGATTTTATAAACTATATTTTGTTCAACTTTATTCTGTGCATATAAATGAAATACATGTTTTCCATATGAATATTCCAGATAAATAATCACTCTAAGCAGGTGATGCATGATATACTACAACAGGTCATTCACCCTATATACTAAATAAAGGAGTTATGTAACACACATACACAATCCACAGTGCAACGTTACTGTACCCCAACATGTACATGCTTTCAGTAGGCGATGTTTGAGGAGGTAATGGAAACTTTTGGAGCATCATTCAAGTAAAAGTTCTAGACATTCGCGCCACAGACTAGAAGCCCCCTCGTCCCCCCAAGCTTTCAACATCCTTGTATGTAACTACCACAAAAACACATTTCAGCGAAATACAGTAATGCACATCACATGGATATTACGAGTCTGACTGACAAACTGACTGTACAGCCATGTCAAGGATTCATATGACAAGGGTATGTAACTTGTGTCATGTGCAATGACAATTCAATTTCAAATCTCACGATGAAAATGAGCAAATCTGTGAGAGGAAATAATTTTGTTTTCGTACAGCATCCTCGTGCATTCACAGATATAACCTCCACCATAAACAAAATACGATTATGAGTACAAACTTTATGAATAATCGATGCTTCCAACACTAAGCAAAAGGAATAAAAACTGGTTGAACTTACTCTTCATATTCAAAATCTAGACTCCACGGATCATATTCAGGTTTAGCTCTGACCAGTGCTAATATCATTACTGCTACGTTACATGAATCAGGACATACCTACCATCAAGAACAAACATACAAATAGTTAAGTAATAATATAAGTTTTAAATTGAAATAGATAATAACTAATCTGTTGGTGTGTAACATATTCCACTCAGTTATCTCCTGCATACACTTGCTTGAAACTAAATTCATGCTCAGCTGTCCCCTACACATCATAATGCTAGGCTCTCATTCAGATTCATCTCTATCACCCTGATAATCAACGACCACTACTTCGCAGATTCAAACTCCACCCACATAATCAAGTTCCAGCTTGGCATCCAGATTCTACCCATATTGACGATTGGGGAGTAACACGGCTGGCTCTAATGTTGCATGCAAACTGAGTCAGTACATGCATGCCAATACCATAAAAACCAATTAAAATTAATTCAAAATTAAATCACAATGTCTATTAATAATTTGCACACCCAGTTCATTTAAAAAAGTATTTATTAAACTATCATTTTAATGGATGACATTCAAAATATTGATGAAAATTCAATCCTTTTCGTGCATGCTCTAACTTTGTACATGTATGCATAACATGGCATTGCAATCATTTATATCTAAATGATCCAAATTACTTTAACAAGCAGTCTGTCGGCTGAGATAGCTCCGCTGTTAGCAATGCACATGGCAATTAAAGAACAGAAGATATCATTAGAAAATGAACAAATCTGAGAGAGGTCCACATGTAGTACCTATATGTATAATATATCAAAGTAATTGGACTTGCGGTTTTCAACAAGAAGTCGAAAATATCACTTTTTACCAAAAATTACAAAAATGTTCATCAAAATTAGAGAATTAAAGATATCATCATGAAATGAACAAATCTGAGAGAGGTCCACATGTAGTACCTATATATGTAATATCAAAGCAATTGGACTTGAGGTTTTTAACAAGAAGTCGAAAATATCA